TTTTGTTACCTGGCCCCAAAAGTGGAATCTTCCAGTAGGCATCTAGGGTCTGCATACAGTGTATGGAGGGAGTTGGGTACATCAGAATAGGATCCAATTTAGCCATCACAGTGAGTTGGAAGCTACCTAAAGTCAGCACTTGCAGCCAAGATCCTAGCTATAGCCAACTGGTAACCCTGAGATTTAGATCTAGCTCATGCTTCAGGACTGAAAGGAATCCCCTCCACGTGCTTGAAATCCACAGTCCTCCAATAGAGGTTGGCAACCTATGGCCTCAAGGCTTTGACAGTGGGGGATGCCTGCTACAGGCACTCTCCTGATGTTGTCCTGGGGACAAACGCCATCTGTGGGTGCTTCCACCCATGCTGCAATAGGAAGAAGTACCAGTTGTGGGTATTTCCCTTAGGCAGCCAGGAGACAGGTGGTGGTGACAGGGTTCTACTGCCCACCCACCAGCCTATCTCCAGTGTGAGGTTGGCCATTCTAGTCTGCAGTCACAAAAGGCTGCCTACCCCTAGTCTATAACCTCATGCATAGGGAATTTTCCAGAGTTACTGTGAATTCCCTCAAGTGGAGGGAAGCCAATGCCTTTCTCACACCTAAGCAGTAGGCCAACATTTCCCACTCGTGAAGTTTATATCCCACCACCACTGTCATGGCCACTCTTCTACCCTATTTCAGCAGTTGACTGCCACCACTTCCCCCACTGCCAATTCACCCTACCGCTACTGTTAATTCTTCCTGCTGTCTCTGCCACTGACAGCTTCCCATCCCCCAGGCAAGTTGCTAGCACCGCCCCCCCCAGCAAGCTTTAGCATACTCCACAGTCTGGGGAAAGTTACACTAGGCTAGTAGATGAAAAGAAGGTCTCTCTTCCTCACTTTTTCAAAGAAAGTGACAATTGCCTCAATAATTTGTGAGGATCCCAATCTTGTTAGGGTACATTTTGTGTGCTTTGAGAAAGCCAAGTAGATTGAGCCTTTCAGGGATCTTGGATAGATGGATATTTAGTTTCTGGATCCTACTTAGAGCTAGGCATCAAGATGATCAGCTTTGTCTGGACTGGATCACATCTAAGGACATGGAAAAACAGGAATGTAGGCACCTGGAGAACTTTAAGATCAAAAAGAGCCCTATGAGGTTTAGGCTCTTTCAGTAGCAGCTGAACAGAGTTGTTAGGATTACATTTTTAGCTGTAGGCACCTTAATTAAAATTCCTGCTTTAGGCACTTAAATCTTTTTTTGGATTGGCCAAAACAGAGTAGAGACACCAAAACACCAAAATTACCTAGAAAAGTCAAAGCGAACAATCTTTTTTGAGGAAAAAAGTACTACTACTACTACTAGAGATAGGTTATTCTGTTAAAGCTATGAAAATTTGCCAGAGGTAAAAATCTCTTCTGTTAAGTCATATCAGCCTACTAATTCTGAATTAATTAATATCACATGAAAGGAATCACCGTGAAACTTATCTTATAAAATGAGCAATGTTTCCCTCTTACTTTGTGTTAACTGACCTCAACTTCTATTCCTGATGTCAGGTCCCAAATCAGTGTGCCTGTTTGTATACAGTATGGCATACAGTTTGATGGTCTGATACTTAACCTCTGTTGAAAGTGTGTGCAAGATCAGATGCTATGTTGGAATTCAGGACCTTGCCTTTTTCTATTTCATGGTGTTATATATATTATTAAATAACAATGGTAATATTTTAAATATTTTTGGTCTGTTTCCCAATTATTCTACATTATAAAGTGCCTTGAACAAGGAAACTTTTTAAATATAGATGACTGTAAATTTACCATATTTTCTCACATACAACATGCCCTGGAATATAATACATACCTTGTTTTTGAAGCCAGAATGAAAGAAAATAGTATTTCCTTGTAGTAAGTAGCTGAATAGCAGCAAGTTAGGGAGCAGTATGCTCCCTGTGAGTCATGTGCAGATTTTACTTTTACTTTTGCCTGTAAGAGAATATAAACTGTTCTTACCATATTTCTTGTATATAATGTGCACTTCGTTTTGGGGGAAAAGTGCACAATGTATGCAAGAAGACAAGGTATGTAGTAGATGCAATAATATAATTTCTATGATAAAATACCCTTCAATATAATGCAGAATGGAAAAATATACAAGAATTCCCTAATGAAAGAACTAGGGTTCTTTGGTAACATTTTATCTAGCGTATCATAAATAAGATGGTTTACAGTGGAGTTCCAAGCCCCAGCAATGCATTGCTGCCAAAATGGCTCTTTGGGACCAATTGGCAAGCTTCATTAAATACAACAGTCTTATATCTGCTATAATTTATACCAAAGATTGGTCTGGTGTTTGAATAACCTCAGGTGCAAGGAACGAACAGTAATATAGGCTTATCTTCTCACCTCCTCACATACCTGAGCTGTGCTGAGAACAAGTATCTATAGCTCAGGATCTAGGCTCCCTCATGAAATCTAGCAAATCCAATCTGCAAAGTCGGTAGGATCATTTACCCATTTAAGTGCTTTGCTGATTTTGAACAATAAATATTGGGCTGAGGATGTCATTTATTCTATATTTGGTGAGGCCTCTAGGCACCACAGCCATATAAATAATACATAATGGGATGAAGACTGCAGGTCTGGACTTTTATTATGTATATGATGTTAAGACATTTTATAAATTGGTGCACTATAGTACAAATGGAAAGCAAAATCTTGGAAATGATAAGAAAATGTTATGGGTATATTTTAATGTATGTGTGTATTTTCTCACACACACACATATACATGTTCATCTTATGTGCTACAGCAGTAGAAGCCAACCTTTTTGGCAGGCATGCCACAGATTAAACCTCATGCCTTCCTTAGGTGCCCTTCAAATCCCCTTCTGCTGCCATATCTGTTGCACTGGTTTCAGCTCTGCGACCTGTACTCCCTGACTGATCTGCTGCTTTGCTTTCTGCTCCCTACCCTAAGCTTCATGCCCAATCTGATGCCCTTTCTTCTCTCTACCTTATCTGTCACTGTACTGCCTGTCCCTTCCCTGAATTTCTGCATGCCCATACCACTTGTGCCACAGATTGGCCACCACTGTGGTATAGAATTATTTGAAACAAGCATGATTTCTTTCTTTTATCAGTTAAAAATGAAGTATATTGCAACTGCAGTAAATCAGAAATTTGATTCTAAATACAATCTCCATAAAATGTATGTTGGAAATTTTCTGAGGTTTGTTTCTACAGTAGAAATGTATCATTAATAATTTACTGCAATTGTATTATAGGGTGACCATATAAGACAAGGTAGAATCTAGGACACTGGTCCCCTCAGCCTCCACAAGTCAAGAGTGCAGGAGTTCATGGTATTACTATTCAGGCAGCTAAGGGAGTCAATGGTTTAGGGAGACAGCAGCTAAGGGAGCCATTGTTCTTTACTTCACAGGAGTTAATCATTATCTCCCCTTTTTAATTGTCATTTCTCTAACCTAGCTAACCTATTTTAAGGCAAGGTTGCTGTCTGCTACAGCTTCCTAGCGAATATATATCATCATCAAACACCATCTTGGAAACAATAAGAAAAAATTATGGATACATTTTAACTTGCGCTTGCACATACTCCCCCCCACCCCCACACGTATATATTTCATGCACAAATACAACATGAAAGCTTTGGATGCTCTGACAATGGGCAGATGTTCTAGGGAGGAGACTAGCTATCAGAAGATAGGATCGATGTCACCAGAACTGGAAAAAGCATCTTTGGGCACTATTTGGCCAATCTATTAAGGAGGACTTTAAACTAGACTCCATGTTGGATAGTGAACACAACCCTCCATCAACAAAGCAAACAATCCAGAAGGGAAAGGATGAGAAAAAGAAGCTCAACTCGGGGAAATGTCTACAAAGCCACAGGACAGCAACAAAGCAAGTAAAAAGGAAACAAGTAGGTCATAATTCATAATACGCTTGATGTATACAAATGTGAGAACTATGCAGAACAAAGAAGATGAGCTGCACATTACAGCCTATGAACATAACCATGAAATAATTGGTATCACAAAGACTCAATGGGACAACTCTTATGACTGGAAGTCAACATTGAGGGCTACACTCAGTTTTGGAAGGACAGGATTGGAAGAAAAGGTGATGGCATCTTATATGTCAAAAATATGTATATTTATTCTCTCTTCAGAAGAAAGAATGTCACAGATGAGAAAGTATTTGGGCAAAGAAAAAAGGTGAAAGATAAAGCACTTATGTAGTGATGGGGATTTAATACAGAGCAGTAAGTCAGGAATAAATGGATGAGGCACTCTTCAAGGTGGCGAAAAAATATCTGTAAGTTATGAGATAATATTGATGGGAGACTTCATGTTCTAGCCATCTGCTTGGAAGAACAATACATAAAATGTTGAGCAAGTTCCTCACTTGCATGGAAGACAACTTTTTGTTTCAGAAGTTAAGGATACAACTAGGGAATCACCTATCTAAGAGCACGGTCTAACCAACAGGGAAGAACTTTTGTAGGATATGAAGGTGATGGGAAACTTGGAAGGATGTGATCACAATATGATAGACTTTATGATCCAGACACTGGGAAAACATGAGGTCAGCAGAACTAAGACAATGGATCTCAGAAAGGTGGATTTCAATTGACTCAGTTGGGAGAGAGTGCCTTGGGAGGAAAAATGGTATGACAAAGGTGCCCAGGTGACCTGGAAGCTTCTAAAGGGCACAGTATTGTAAACCCAAGAAGAAATTATTCCACTATACTGCAGCTGTAACATCTCATTTTTAAGTGATAAAGTGAAAGTAATCATGCTTGTTTCAAATCATTCTGTAGCACATAAGGTGAACATTCACTGACAGCAATAAGAATCAGTGAGAAATGAATGGTGACTTTGAAGCATACTGTCTTCTAATCTTTACTGAGAATGACAAAAATCATGTTGCCTCATATGTGCTTTTAAAGTCTTCAGGGAAGACTAGTTAATTTAGCTCCATGTTTTCTTCACAG